GATTATACATTAATGAAAACATATCTATGAGTATTATATTCCATTTCTGCCGATAGATCCTTCTGAATTTGTAAGTAATGCCATCAGTCAACCTCAAATACTTTCAGTCTGTTTCCAGCCTGTCTGCAATCAGTGAGGCCACCAAATCTTGTGGATGTACATAATACAGTTGAATGTTTCACATTTTCTAATAAAAACTGTTTCATTAGGTTGGTACAGTGAACTACTGCTGCCATCAGGAAAACATGTAACACCACAGAACTTCATTCAAAGACAATATTGAAACATCTGTCAGTTACAGTGCTGCTGCAAAGTGTGTGAACCTCTGGAGAATTTCACCATTATCTATTTAATCAGTAAGTATTTATCAAATCCATGAACTTTTTATGAGGAAATAAAATGTGTAGTGAAAATAATCATAATCTTTTGAGAGGCTTAAAAGGAGCAGGTGAATACAATCAGGTGACTAAATGAACCAATGAAATGAGAGATCTTTAGGGGGTTCAGTTCAGTCTGGCCAAAGTGAACCCATACAGGTCAATCTTAGTAAGGCTGCAGGATTAATGGAAATATTAACCAAACAAACATGAAAATCTCAGAATAAAAGATACAAGAACATGTTTTTTTGGTACAGAAAAATAAAGTTTGTGATACAAAAATGATCATTTCCACACTAATCATGAATGATATCGTAACACTTTGCATTAGCTCACTTTTCTTGGCACGCTTGACTGTCTCCGTTCTGCTTCACACCCACTACTGAAGTCTGCAGCTCATCCTACCAACAGCTGGATCTCTAAATATCCAGGTATTCAGGGCGAGAGGGCACCCTGCATACTGTGCAGCCCGAGCAGAGAGGAAAACCAATCTGAGAGGACCTCAGGAAGAGGGGGGGTCACATTTGTTCAATTCATCTGAAAGAGACACTCAGGATTCACAAACCTTTTGAGCAGCGCTGTAAATAAGTATTAGTAAGAGCTGTACCTGGAGTATAAAAAACACCCTCCCATCACTCCCGTCGTCCTGAATGAACACAGATGCGTTGCAGTTTGAATGCTTTATTTCCTGTATGTATGCATACTGCAGTTAAGTAGCAAGAACTAAAGGCAAACTAGAAAGAACTACAAAATACAACACATGGACCAATACATTTACAAAACATTCAAAATGTTACAAAATGGGCTGTATTGGTCCTTCTATTGTTCTTCAATTTGGATCTTTGTACAAATTGTCAAGATACGATGTCACCATCACTTTGCACAATTTACAAGTGCCAGGGAGAGACTTCCAGAGCCAGTTTCAAATGGACAAACCATCAGCAAACCTTCTCCACCAACACACCAGGAGCAGACCCCAACCCCACCTGGGAGACTACCCTCCGTCTTCTGTCCCACTCAGGGATGAAAAGGAATCAAATGAAAGTAGCAGGCAGCTTTTTTTCTTCAATCATCTACCATTCAGCCTCTGAAAGCAACCAAAAAGAAAAAAAAAAAAAAGTACGAAAAAAGGATCTGTGTGGGAGGGACGCAAACCAAGGACTTTGGTAGTGAGTGAAAATGTTTTGTTTAGATGTCTTTACATGTCAGGATACATTTTTATTTGACATGTGCATTGCTCTCCACTTATCTACGCTCCCGTGCTTCCTTTTTCCAATATTTACATCAAAAGCATCAAAAAAAAAAAGTATATTAAACAGCATCAATCCATTATCTCCATTTCAATTCAGCCCCCAAAGGGATAAACAAAAATCTAACTCCTCAGAACCATGAACTCCTTTAGAACCGTGAACAGTAGTCCTTTTCATCCACATTTCAAATGACTGTGGTTTGCCAGTTTATCCAGTGCCAACAGTAAAGAGGGAGATGTGTTTTTGTGTGGTGGGGGGGAGTGGGTCAAGGCCGCGGCATCTCTCCCGAGGGCTACGAGCTGGCTGGTACACAGGCTAGCTGGCACCGGTGCCCTCCATCACCTGCTGGGCCTGCTTCTGTCCCATGCAGCACTGGGCTACTGACTGGAACAGCCTGAGGGGAGAGGGAACACATTACCGTCTGTTACAGGGAGCAGCTTTACTTTATCTCTTCATCATTGTTAGCATCAAAATTCTCTTTGAGTTGTTCCTGCTAACAAGTGCCGTCTGTGCGGGCTCAGTTATCGACACAAAGACAACAGAACTGTGACTGCGTTGACATTAGGGGTGTAAGAAAATGTGGATACACAAGTATGGCAAGAATTTTGCATTGTAGTGTTGTAAACGCAACCAGAGGGCTCGATTCTTTATAATGATTGCAATATGTCGCCTTGATTACAGTATAAACACATAAAATATCTCCAGACTCTTGCACACCAACTCTCCACTGTGATTCTGAATATAACCGCTAATCCCCCTGCATATTCTTCATCAGGTCTTATTCTGGAGCACTTTGTGATGAAGACATGAGGGATACGCACAAAGACTTTAACAAGGAGGTTGAACAATTGAACGAGGGAGGCAGTGGTTCGCCACCGGTGGAGAACTTTGGAAACAGGATTTCTCTTTTGATATAAAGAGGAACAATGTCTCAAGCAGCTCACTTTGAACTGTTATCATGTACTGTTCATCCTACAATTTGTACACACAGCTGCATGTAAACGGGAATATTAGTGGAATATTTTGGGTCAAACAGGGAACTTACTTTTCAATCTCGGGGGCACAGTGCACAAAGTCGTGGCTCCAGAACTTGAAGGCAGGATTCTTGATCAGCTCGATGAAGGTGATGAGGAGTCCCCACGGGTGTGGCCTGTTCACTATCAGCCTCTCCAGCAGAACCCTGGAAGAGGAGGAGAAAGCTTTGACTGACGGCACTCGTGGTTAACTCGGTGACGGCTCCACGCTTCACTTCTGCCGAGATTACAGCGGCTCCGATCCGACCGCGACTCACCTGGTGATCTGCTCCTGGATGGCCTCGGTGTTGGCCTCAGCAAACAGGTAGAGCATGGTGCAGCTGAAGTAGTGAGTGTGGCTGTTGGGGTAGCGCAGCTGATTGGCGATCGCGTTCAAGAACAGGTAACGCCCTGAGGAGACACAGCAGCAGGTGTTAGAAGATCTAAACTCTTCTAGCTCACACTGAAAACACACACGATGTTCTCCAAAAGCTTTTCTCTGTTGGCTCTTTAGATAGAACTAACCAACAGTTGGACATGTGTGGTTTGCACGCTGCCACCTTACCCTCAGTGTCCAGGTCCACAGCCAGGTTCTGGAAGATATCCATGTGTGCAGAGTGGGTGATGGTGCTCATGGAGGGGGTGCTGCCCTTGTTGTGGATGTGAGCGATCGCCTGTGTGCCTACA